ATTAACTTCCTTTAGGGCAGATGGCATTATTCCTCCTCCCGCCATACGTCTCCATGCGGCAATGTGGTTTTCCCAGCCACTTTGATCAGGTTCCTCAGAGAAGGGAGAAAGCTGCTGCCCCACCAGCTTTACAGCATGGTCTTCCTCTTTCTGAGGTTTCTCCACAAGCTATCTGTTCAAAGGGGAAAACGGGCACAGAAAGAAGAAATCAGCATTCAGTGACATTGCTGCACATTCCTCCCCCTGAAGAGTACTGGGGCAAGCTGGAATAAAGATGCTTACCTCGCTGGAGAAATGGATAGAAGATCTCCAAGAAGTTCAGCAAAGGAAGGGCGAAGTCCTGCAAGTGGGAAGCATAACTCCAAGCACGCAGGCAATAACCCCAGTATTCATTGGGTGACCTGGACAGCAGCTTTGCAGAGAGGTGCCTCGGGATCCTTGCTCGTGGTCAGCGTGCCCACGAGCAGCGTGCCTCGTGATAAACAAGGCCAAGGCTATCCTGGGCCGCGTTGAGCGCAGCGCTGCCACAGGCAGGGAGGGGATCCTTCCCCTCTGCTCAGCTCTGAGGCGGCCACGCGTGGAGCGCTGGGCCCTGTTCCGAGCTTCTCCATGCAAGAAATGCAGGGAGTTACCGGGAGGGACTGGAGCTTCTCGTATACAAGGAAAGGATGATGGAGGGGGGACTCTAGCCTGGAGATGAGAAGGCTCGGAGGGATTTATCAAGGTTGATAAATGTTTGAAAGGAGACTGTAAAGACAACAGCGGTACTGAGAGTACCTTGAACAAGGGGGCTGGAATAAGATCCTTACAGCCCCAGCCATTTTGTGGTTCTGCAGTGTACTTTTACACTTAGGTTTGTAGAGACACATTTGGGGAAAAAGGTCCATTGTGGCTAGCAAAACATCTTCAACCTTACTCTGAAAGCAACACAGCCCACCTATACTGAATTAGGAAGACATATCTTAAGCTATCAGCAACACATCGCTTAAGGGCTCACAGAATTTGCAAGCTTGCATTTCCAGGAAATGCCTTTTAAAAAAAGGGAACAAAAACTCACCCTCACACTTTTAAAGTCCAACTGGTATCTACCGTTCAGTTTAGAAGGCCCTGCAGGCGGACAAGAGGCAGCGTTTCTAGCCACGCGCACTTCACACCAATGCTGTAGTAAGATGAGATACTTCCAACAACTACCAGCCTCTCTATCAAGACTGTCAGTTACTCCCAGGTTCAAAAGGCAACGTGCCAAGAGGACACGAGACAGTTCATGAAAAATTTAACAGATGGAAAGTATGAGAACCATAAACTTAGCAGACTTGTACTATTTTTTAGCAGTACAAACAGAAGATACCTCCTCCCTCCCCCCCCAAAAAAAGCTACATGCTTACATAACCTGCTCTGCAGCTTGTGGGACATAATTCTGAGCGACTAGCTGTGCCACATCCACGTACACTCCCAAGAAAGCAGCTGGCTGGGGTGGAGAGAAAGCAATCCATCACGAGGGATGCAAACCTGCCAGTCTGTTCCCAACTTCATCACCCTACAGAAGGCAAGCTCTGGGGAGAAAGAGTTGGAAGGGAAGTCTGTTTCAGACGGTAAAGAAATCTGAAGATATTGCAAAAGTGGCCAGATGAGAAGGCATGGAGGAATTTATTTATATAAAAACCAACTTTGCAAGGTTGAAAGCTTTTTTTCTTTTTTTTTCTTTTCTTTTTTTGGTGAAATAGTACTTGCCTAAAAATACGTGATCTGTGGCTGCAGAAAGTAAACTCTGCTTTCCAAGAAAACGGAACCTCTGCTTACATCTTCTAAGGAACACTTATACCAACCTACAAAGCTGGACATTGGCAGCTTCAACATTTCCCCCACCCACACACACTTTGACTTGTACTTATTATGCACAAAAGGGCACTGTTAAGAGAATTCCTGAAGAACTACACACTTACTTCAAAATCAAGAAAACTAATGATAAACAATACGAAGTTCCTGCCTGGCTGTTAACTTGAAGCTTTTGGTACTGGTACACTGGCATCCTGAGAAGTCGTTTTAGAGTTCTGTACCCAGAATTCTGTATTTTCTTCACAACATCTTTAAATAAATTCTCTTAATCTGTATTAAACACTTCCTAAAAAATTGTCAGAAGTCTTGGCTGTTTATTATGTTACTTCTTATAAACAAGCTTACTTGTCACCACTTATATTTAAGATCATTTCCTAATGCAAAGCCATGCTTTCAGTTTATATAGTGCCCAAGTTCTACCAATGGTGGAAGACATTAACGATTTTCTTAAGTAATGTAGTTAAGAAAATTCCAGCTAAAGTTTCACAACCTCAGGAGAGATCAAAGAGGAGGGGAGCAGTAGGATGAAGATAACAGATCAGATGAGGTAGCAGTGCAAAACTGTTGACCATCTCATTATCCCCAGTACACCAAAAACAAAACGGATTGTACAGCAAACACACACCCCAGGACAAAGAAATACTGATTTCACAGCATGATTCAAGCCACATGCAAGTGAAGTACATAGAGGCACACACGACATGCAAAGCTTTCTCCAAATTACGTAGAATCAATGGCAGCTACTTCCAGGTAATGCAAGTACTGGAGTGCCTGATTTAGAGACTCAAGGTTTCTCTGTGATAAGACAGCTCAGGAGTCCCTATGTTAGTAAAACAGGCAATTGGCACCCTGACGTAGCACTGATAATTAAAAATTGACTCTTATCGAATAGCTGTTTGCTATGCTGGTGCCAGCTACTCTCGGCACAAAATGAGGGAGCCTCTGGGGGAAATGCAGTCCAATAGCATAACACATACAGCATGAAACAGAAATACGAATGTTACGCAGGGAAGCTTACTACAGAACCATCCTCAATGTTAAAGCAAACCTGACTAAAAAACAAACAAACAAAAAACCCCACACAGCTATTCTTTTGCTTGAATTGAGTGTAAAAAAAGCCTACAAATCTTTTCCAGGAGCTTCCAGGACAAGAGCTATATGCTTTCAACTATATTAGAAAAAGATATCAATTTACTTGCTAGTTCCAGTAGCTACTATTCATTTGGAAAAGCATTGCCAGCAAACACAACTGTTGTCAAAGTAGTTTAATTTGCACACTCATCTATTTGCTATACATTCCAACAGTGCTCAGCAACACTTGGCTTAGAGCAACAGCATACTGAAGCAGCACATTTTTTGCAGGAAAATGTGCCAATCAATATGCACACACAGTGCTTTCTACTATGGATTCTATTATGTCAACTCCACAGATTCATATACCATATTCTGGGGCCCCGAAGCTTCATTGAATAACCTTATTTGAGTAGGCAGCTGTCTACTCCCCGCCCCCGCCGCCCATTCCCATCAGTTAAAAAAAATGAAGTCAGACCTGCATTTATCAGTTTAATTAGTAACATGCTTGACATTTTAATTTCTATTCTTTTATTCTTTCTAACTTTTAAACCCATTGAACTGAAGTAAAAACTTATGTTTAATAAAGTTTGCTTTCCTATTTGAGTTTGGGAAAGTCTAAAAACAAAAGAACACTCCCTCCCCTCACCTCCCTCTCACTCTCCACCCTACCCCCACCCCAAACACCCTTACCTCAGCAATTCTCGTGTATTTTTGTAGGTGGTAGTGGGTTTTGTTTTGTTTTCTTCAAACCTTCCTAAACAATAACTTGGATTTAGGCACCTATTCTGCACTGAGCTAGCAGTTATCCCTGTAGTTTACCTCTCAACAAAATGCACAAGACACAGAAAATAGAGCAATCTTTTATTCCTGCAGTCTTCACAGAGACCAAAACAATGCCTGTAATCTTATCTGTGGTTAAGTCATAAGAAATACATTTCAGAAACATGTTAAAATATATACAATTCATCTGGTGTGCAGCTGAATGTGCAAGGCTCTACTTTGGCACGAGTTGAACAGATTCAGTAAGACACATGCATTACACAACTGAAAAACATAAGGCATATCAGACATATTAAAATTTAGCTATTGCAAATTAGATACAAATAAAGGCAGTAGCACTACAGATAAGGGTATATATTAATCATCCAGAACTCTGGTAGTTCTACCAAAACAGCTATCAAAGTAAGAATTTTGCTGACTGCCAAAAGACATGTTAGTCATGTCACATTTAAGCTAAGAAGATGCAAAAGCTTTCCCACTCGAAAATGCACATCACAAGTTCTGCTACTAGTCTCAAAGGAAAGTACATTTAAAAGAAAGTTTTCTTCAAAGTTATACTACAAAGAGTATATGAAAACCTATTTCCAGACATGGACAGAAATGTTCAGAAACGGACAGTGCTGAGAATAACTAGCGTGTACCAGGTAGGACATTCAAAGCAGAGCCTTTTAAAGAAGGAGAAAGTGTCATGGTAGAACTAGGAAAGTATTATATATGGTATTCTCACAAAGCCTTGCATTTATTTCTGGTTACTTTCCATTATTGATAGTACTTTGATATTCATTCAAGTTTCTATGCTACTTGCTGAAATCCCTATCACCTACTGATTAGCAACACCCCCACATATTCACTACATGAAATGTGCACCAATAAACTGAAATATAGCTTTCAATGTAACATGCTCTAATTGATATGATCTATTTTCTTTCTATGTTTGTATCTTGGACATCAGGAAGCAAAATATGTGGTATTCAGAAGATTCAAAATCAAGATGAATTTATCAAAATGCTTAACCTTTCTGTACTGTAAAGGAGCACATGCATGTCTGACTGCCAATAACCAAGTACAGACAGAAAAAAAGGCAGTGACTGTTGTTGCCCCTTGCCTGGTTAAGGGTGGTAGTCAAAAAGAACAGTTGAATCCAGCTCCCTGCACAGATGATGGTAGTTCTACAAGACTGACAGAAGACCTGTTTGCTGTATGACGGCTCAGATTTCTCAAACCAAAGCTTCCAAAACACTAGTTGTTCTCAAATGACAGTCAAGCTACTTAATTTTTGATCATATGGGTCTTTTTAGCCAGATAATATGCTAACTTCAATTTAAAAGTCTTTACATATAATTATACATATGTATAAAATATTAAAACCTAACTACGAAGCCCTATAAACTGAGGTTCACTGTTTCTGCACTTAATTTGCCACCACTTAAACTGTGAATCATTGCTATCATATGGGAGTGTTTGAGCAGTTCTTCTTGCTGCAATTTTACAACAGCTTCTTTTTCTTCCAAACGTCCCTCCAGCTGGGACTTTTGAACTTCCAGGGAAGATGCCTGCAGGAGAAACGTTCTTTTCAGTTCAGAGGCAGAAATTGATAGACACAATGCAGTCAAAGTTGAGTGGTGTGGCAATGAACTTAAGTAATTAAAACACACAGTTTTAAAATTACAAACTTGCTTTGAAAACTTTCAGAGCTCCCATAGGTGCATGTGAATAACTACAGCTACTGTCACACTTCAAAAAAATACCACGGGGAAATACCACTGTCATCTTAAAATTGTCCTACTTAAGGGACAGAAGTGCTCATAGGCCACCCATGCTTTTTCTCCCCCCTCCCTCCTTCTCCAAGCCAAAGTATTTACCAGCAAGGGAAATATTTGTTATATATTGGAAAATTTTGCCTGGAGAGATTAGCAATGCAATTAATAGAAATGCTGCAAAAGCATTGCAAGACGACACTGATTTTTATAATTACTGACCTGTTTGCAGAGAGTTGTGCCTGTTGTGCCTTATGAGTTATTAGGAAGCTGAATATACTTCCAAGCAAGGACATGCAGGCTACAATGAGTTTTTCTGGCTTTTGTTTGCTTTTTGATATTTATTGTTTTGCCTTTTGTTTGCTTCTAAACCTTACCCTGCTGACCCTAGTTGTATAGCCAAACTGATGAACTTCTCTTGAAAAGGCCCATATTTTTTGTAGAGATGAAAATAGATTTCTTAGAATTTCAAAGATGAAAAAGGCACAGATACATTTTGGTGGGTAGGGGAGAAAAAGAGGGGTGCAAGCCACCTTTTCCAGAAGCCAAAACTAGCATCTAAAAAAAGAACACGCTCCATTCTCTCAGCATGTTTTTTTCTTCCAAACATCATGTCATCTCCATTCTTCATAAAGCCCCATGATAGTCTGACTTTGGCCTCTTTTCTCTTAAACTCAGACACAGTGTTCAAAACTCAAAACCTATATATGATTAAAACTAAGTATATTTGTTCTTATCTATTATCTACACTGCTCTGGTTTCTTTAATCACCTCTATTACTGAAATATCAACTCTCCAACTCTGTTATTTAGATACTTAAATTTCCAGACTGGGGACACGTGAAAATAATTCTTACCTTAATGCTCAGTTCTTTCCTTGCTTGTTCTGTTTTACTTAATTCCTTTCTAAGAACATCTATAGTTTCTTCCATATCTGTTTTTTCTTTCTGCCGAGATTTTAGTTTTTCTTCCAGAACTTTTATTTTTTGTTGCAAGCCTTAAAAAAAACCCCAACACATTAAAAGATGGATTGCCAGACTTAGAATAGAGCTATTTAATTGCCTGTGAAACAACAAATATTTTTAGATCCTGCGTGGCTGCTAAGTGAATTATGGAGTACTGCCATCTACTGCTAAGTTACAGTGTCTGTTTTGCAGTTATTTGCTGAAAAGTTAAATTCTTGTAACTTACAGTTCCTACAGAAAGTAATTCTAATGGACATACTCTAATAATATTCTCAAGGGATATTTGATACTGTCCAAAGATTCAGCGAAATCCACGTAAACTGAAAAGTTATATTTACGTATTCTTTCAAACAACAATGACAACAAAGTATTTGATCTGTTTCATGCAACTATTATCTCTAGCTATCTCTAAGGCTTAACAAGTTAGCCACTTCTCTAGGGCACATAAAAACACCCATTTAATCTAATTAGTTCTTTCAGTCCAATGATATTTAGGTACATGGCTTACTTGCTATTCTGCTGTCTCTATCTTGCAGCTGTTGTAGTAGTTCTTTTCTGTTATCTTCAGTTTCTTTCAACTGTGCAGCAGTCCTAGAGTTGCAGAAAAAGACAATAATGGTCAGAGAAGTTAAAAGACAGCAATGTTATATTTTAACAAGCCAGAATGATTTTTTGTGTCAATTCCAACTGCAGTCAGGAGGTTCCAGTCAACACAACTATGAATTTGCAGCGTCTGTGTACAGCAGAATTCTCCCCCACTCAACCTTCTGCAAAAGTTATTTCTCTCTAACCAAAAGGAAATGGTAGAAACTACTAAATAAAGTCATTCTTAGAGCTGAAGCATCAAAAACCGGCTCTTCTACAGACACACAAAGCATTCAAAATACCATTGCAGAACTGAGATTGCTAGAGTCATATCTCACTGCCATTAATAAAGGAGGATACTGCTTTTGGAGCTCCTAGGATGCTCCTGTATTGACAATACTGACAGAAAAATGTGTTTCAGAGAAGCATTACAACTGTACATAAAGAGCATCCAATAGCATTCAGAATATCAGAGTTAGGAAAAAAGGACTATTTCACATGATACCGCTGTAGTCCATCTATAAAAGTCTGCTGCTATCCTAAACAGTTAGGATAATATTTAGTTTTAAGATCATTGAACATATAGGCATTAGCAAGGGTGGTGTTGGAAGGTTTATGGTTGAACTCAATCTTTAAGGTCTTTTCCAACCATAAGGATTCTGTGACCATCATCTCCTATCAGTGTTACAGATATAACTTGAGCACTTAGTAGATAGCCTAATTCCCAAGACGTATTTTGTCTACCTTTTGTCTCACCTAGATGCCATCTACTATCACTCTGGCTCACTTGCTTATCCACCTACCATCTACCAGCTTCTTAGTTGTAGTCTCCAGCAAAGTGCATATGGGTGGGATGGAGGGGAAGAACAGAGTTGTGCCTTTCCATTGTCCCAAATTTATTTGTACATGGGTCACAGGTACATCAGAACTATCTTACGCCATCAGTTTTGGGGAAAATATGTCTTCCCCTCAGTGATAGTCTTGTGGTCTAAGAATGATGTTTTGCATCACACAGAGGAGAATACCAGTCATTACTACTTACGATATGATTTGTTTTTAAATGAAACCATGTATTAGTTTTAATTATTTATTTGCAAACAAAAGCCCTCCAGTGTCAAGATCAATATTTGATATAGTACAGAGAAACCTTGGAGGCTAAAAGGCAATATGTGAAAGCTTGGATGAAAAATAATATTTAAAAACTAAAGACACACCCAAAACCTAAAAACAAATACATTAAAAGTCTATGTTACTACACTAATATTTTTTCTTCCTAGTGTTTCTATAGCCTTTGTGGAGGACCTCTAATCCCCTCCTACACCAAACCACAATATAGTAAAGAAAAACAAGTAGAAATGACTACTACAGATTTTCACCTAATACACACATCAAACAACACTGAAGCTAACTACACTTCTCAGAGGTTACTTAAATAGCAGAGCTAAATTGCACTTTAGTCTCAATCTTTCAATTACTTGTGCTTTATCTTTACTTTGTTTAAAAAAAGATTGTGAATTAAACTTACTTGTCATTCTGCTGCTTGAGTGATTCATTTAGTTTTTTCATTGTTTCCACTTGTTTATTTAGTGAATTGCATGTAATCTGTAGATCTTTATATTGTCTTTCAGTTGTTTCATGCCTACAAATAAATTAGGGGGTTACATTTAAAACACATAAGTGGTTTTGAAGAGATTTTACTTTAATAGTTTGTCAGATAAAGAAAAATACTTGACATCTCCTGAGCAATCATCCCACTCAAACAAAAATTATTTCTTCTTAGCATAAATGAAAAGCAAGCTTCAGTAGGTACATTACATGTCCTTAATGAACATCAGGAAGCAACCTTTTTTCAATAGAAAACTCTCAGGGGCTAACAAATCAGTATGCTGATGCCTTTAGAAGTTTGGCATATGCAAACTGTTCCAAATTTGCTTTTTGCAGCCATCTTTTAAGGGACACCGAGTCTATTAAGAGAATTTAAGGAACTGCATTTAAAAAAACGTGTAGATTGTTTAGAAAATAAGTTCTTACTTTATAACACATGGTAAGGATGCCCAAGCTATTTTATTCCTTCTTGGAAAATGTACAATGACTAAATACTAGAATTTCGCTCCTTTCATGCACAACTAAATAAATACATCCTGATATAGCATGTTGCTACATACAAAGAAAGAAAAAAAAAACAACCTGCACTGCCATAGCAACTACAGTAGATGAGTATCCAGGAAACTCCATAACGGATACAGCAATTCACTTGCATGCATTCCAATTCTCTACCTCTGTAACTCCCTATGGGTAGTGACATGTCTTTAAAAGTATCTAATCAAATGTTTGTTCCCATTAAGTTAGAATCTTTCTGAATTTTATCAGCTTCTTGGCCTTGCTCACTGACACTTAAGGACAAGACCAACTCAAGCAGGTTGAAAAGGGAAAGCTCTTAACTTTTTTTTTCCACCCAAAGCAAATTCTTTTTTCTATAGAGAGATACATAGCTTCTAACCTTGTGTACTTCTTATGCCTCAGGTACCCTTTTTAACCTTAAATTCCTAAAGAAATAATAAACATAAATGTCACTGGGGAGATGGTGCTTCCACCGTTCCCAACTCCCTTGGACCGAATTCCAGTCAACACGCTACAGAAGCGATCACAAGGTGCAAGCTCCTTATGTGATGCGGATGCATCGCATGACACCATTAGACCAAGCATTTTTAGTTATTTTTTCTTAACGATTTTTTTTTCTATTTTGCTTTGGATATTGTTTAAATATACAAAGCTCTTGGTATTTCCAAGGCTAGACCTTCAATACCTACAGCTTTAGTTCTCAGATGCTATTTAACACAGTGACTTACTGAATGACTTAGGAGGTACCTGACTCAAAAGTAGGGAAAAAGGGAAATTTTCACTTTAAACTATGAAGTAGCACGTGATGCTGTCCTTCTAATGTACTTAGCCCAGAAAAATAAAAGAATGTTATCACTCCAGTTGGATATGAAGGATTTGCTCAGAGATCTTAAGCTTCTTACTTCTGAAGAAGATCAATAGAGGATTTTTTCAGTATTTCATGTTCTTCAGCAACTGTTTGTAGTTTTCGGTTATGTTGAAAGAGCTGTTCAATATCATTTTGTGCCCTTTCAGATTCCACCTGCTGAGCTTTCAGCAAAACATTAAGTTCTTCATTTTTTCGTTCTGCATCCTTCAACATTGCAGCAAGAGTTCTTGCCTTTGAGTGGGGAAAAAAACAGTTACTAAAAGCTCTGTTTTACAAGTCACTTTGTAATATCTAATTCATGTTTGATACCTAATATGATAGGCATATGTCTCTAATGTTAAAATACCTGATGTTCAAATCAGCTACATTGAGAAAGATTTCTTAACAAATACTAACTAAAAATTAGGCAATTAGCTCCTTCCAAATTCCTTGAGCTTCCTTTATAAACAGTGTAAGAGAAGGAAGAAAAAAGGTCAAGGAATAAAGAAGGGAAGAAATAGTCCAAGATCAATATATGTATGCCTTTGGTTAAGCTGCAGTCTCAGCTATTGAATCTTTATAGTAAAATTTAAAGAATAAAAATCATTATGAGCTCTCAAAGCATACCTTACCTACAAAGGCCCAGCGATGCATGATTTGTTTGAAAGTGCATCATCTTATGAAATACAACATGTGATTAGAAGGCACAAATAAGAAGCTGCTCCACATACACCAAACTCCATATAGAAATCTAGTGAGAGCTTTTGTTTGAGAGATTAGTATCTCCAGATTAGTATTAATTGTTAAGAAATGGTCAAAGGTAGTCAGTACAGTAGGTTAGTTTTTTTGACTTTAAAGGAAAAGAAAGCTGAAGGAAACTGTTCTAAAGAACAATCCAAAGGTAAATGGGATGCTTATGATGACACATCAAAACTGTCCTTAACTGTAAGCACAGCTTAGCTAAGCAGTGGAAAGCTTTGCATGTGCCATCGCAGTCAAAGCTACCAGACCAGCTCCAGCCCAGCATTGCAGCACAAGCTCCTGCAACTCACCTCAGACTCAGCTTGGGCTCTCTGACATCGGTACTGAGACATCAGCCTATCGGCCTGAGCCAGCGCCAGCGCCTTTGCCTCCAAAAGGTCTTGCAGCCTGCTTTCTTTGGACTGCCCACAAAAAGAATATTTTTTTCATTACAAATTTTTGCATATCCATGCAGGAATGCATCCCCAAACACTTTGGGTCATACTCACTGCTAACGCTGACAGTTTCTGCTCATAAACGTCCATTAAGTCGGATACCCTCATATCAATGATTGGCTCCTTCATCTGTGGAAAATTGACAGCAGCAGAAATTAGAAAACATTAAATTTGTAACTACTGAGACAGGTAATGTGTGTCTGAAAAGCTTGATAATTTATTGAATTGTGCTAGCTTTTTAAGTTCTTATTTTATCTCTGGAACTATCTGCTCAACTGCATACTCCAGACTTGAAGTCACCCTGGGAAAATAACACCACACCCACAATGTTTTCTCCATGGCCTCATCTTTGTTAACTCCTGGAAAATTATTTAGCTGATTTTCTCTAATGTCAACAGGACAACACACACATGGCTAAAAATCCATGCTTACACTCTTCACTCTTGTCAACATGAGGATTATTAGAAAACACTCTGGACAGTTATTTTGAAAGGACGCTATCCGGAACAGAACTTGCTATTTCAAACCATCTGCTTACTAGAGGAAGTAAATAAGCAGCTAAGTCAAATGAAAATGACACTCAGTGATTTCAGGATACTCTTCCTTAGACAGTGTTAATATAACGATTATGAGCAGCTGTTCATATACACAGATGTATAACCAAGTGCAAATTACACCAGCTGTTTGTACAACAAATGCATATTGAACTTTTCTCCACCATTTAGAACAACTATAGATTTTCCTTTGAAATTATCAGTAACCCCAACATATCAGCCCCGCAACATAGCTCCAATCTTCAACTCATTTCTCTGCCCTTTACAGACACCAGTAACTTAGATTTTTTCTTGCAAACTTGTGATCTCCATGCCCTTTTACATATTACAAGGAAAGATTACATAAGCTCCCTTCACTTTCTCCATACAGTCCTTCTCTGAAAAGATGGTTTTCAAATACGTTTACACACGTTCGAGCATCACACAACATACAGAACGCGCATAGAGCTGACCTACTCGGCTGTTTAACTAATCAGCGTTTCCTGCATTTTTAAAGAAAAAAAACTATTAATCAGGAAGACTAAGAAATAATTTGCTGAATAACATATCAAAAATATTTTTCCTTCTCGTCAAAACTCTAAGGAGCTGCAGGACATGCCTGCAAGCTACTGAACTAATGCTGCAAGACACCTGTGGCCACTTGGACTTTTATTAATAAAGACATAGCATGCCTACAGACTGCCACCCGCAGTGCTGATAAGAATGATAAGAATGAAAAAGGAAGCTGAGGCAAGAGTCACTGTTACACTGTCATTCCAGCAACTACCTAGAACCACTAGCTTCATGAGTTTCATTCTCAACTACAAAGAGCAAAGGGTTGCAGTAAAGGTAAGGCTGGAGGCAGTGGAATCAATATCGTCACCAAGCCCTTGTCAGACACTTCCTGTTCAGCCTGTTGATTTGCATGCTGTTCTTTGAAGTCAAAAGAAAGTAGTGGCAACAATCCATCACTTTGCCTAAAACAGCTACAAAGCAAGTACTTGGCTTTGAACAGAAAAAGAAAGATATCAGCATCTGACGGTATGGCCCCATAATGGGGAAAGTGTATGTGGTGCCTATTCCAGTGCCTCATCTGCAATGCACATAGTTGCAGAGGAAAGCAAAACTTTTCTAATGTTTCTAATGACTACTTTCACAGGAACACCACAAAGATTAAAATGCAAATGCTAAGGAGCCAGCTACAGGCAATAAAAGGCAAGTGTTAGTATTCCTGTTTAGAGGTGCAAGAGATAGTGCACCATGCTTTCATAAAGCAACATAATCACTCTACTGCCTCTATTTTGGCAAGGAGAGTGGGGTGGAAGTGCGAAGGGAAGGCCCTCCTTGTACCCATCCCGGCAAGTATACACAGCCATGACTACATCTAACATTTGCCTCCATATATGACACCTGAAAGAGCGTGGTCAGCTCAGTACAGAAGAGGATTTCAACAAGATCCCAGCTTCCGATATAGCACTGTACTGAGTTCTGCTCAGGAGCTCAGTAAAAACACCACATTTCAAATAGACAGGAATCTACACTCATCTCAACAGTCACATGCACTGTAGCCTGGAATGTAAATATGTTTTCAGTGAAGTGTCAAATATTTAACAAACATACATAAATTCTATTAACCTCTAGCCCAGAATGGAGTTTCTGTATTAATTCCTGAATGTTTGAAGTTGTAGAATCATCACATGAAGAATGGGATGAAGAACTCCTCACTGAAGTAGCATGGATCATGGGTGACTGCATTTGGATTCTTTTTGATGCATGCTCTGTTTCGTGCTGCTTGTAAGCATTATTTGCAGCAATGCTTTCACCAAGCCTGTATAAACACAAAGGTTATTAAGAATAACTTGCTAAAAATACCATTGGGAGGATTAAAGATAAGAACAATTTCATAATAACTTCTCACTCATTGGAAATATGACACTACTGAAAACTCCATGTACATTATCATATAACATTAAGATATACTGTACCTCGTCCCTCCTCCCTCCCCAAAAGAAGAGATCAGTCATCTACCAAAGATTCAGAATCACATTCACCTACCACATTTACCTCAAAAAACAAAAAACAAACAAACAAAAAAACAAAAACAACAACAACAACAACAACAAAAACCAACAACAACAACAAAAAAACTTTGTAACCTGTCATGGATCACCTCCAGAAACCGAGTGCAGCATTTCACAAAGAACCTGGTGTTTGGCTCTTTTTAAAGAGAAACTATAAACTGTCTCTTGTTACTCTGAGAAAGAGGATACTTAACATGTTTTTATTCTGCTCTACAAGGCTAGTGTTTGCCAGTAGCAGGACAGACATGGTGTTTAGCAGAAAGTGATTCATCAAAGATCAAAACACTGAATAATCAAAAAGTACAGCACTACCAAAAAAACCTTCCTTTTTCCTTGTCTGGGATTCTGCTTCACAATGTTTTATGAAACATACCAGGTTTCATAAGTTTTAACTAGAATTCGAGTATGCAATAAATAAATTGGAAAACCCAGATCCTTGTCTGCATGTAACTCAGGTCCCATTTTCAAGGCTGTTAGTCATGTAATATTCCTAATCAGAGCAAGAAAAGTCAAAAAGCTGAGTTTTAAGTGACCACTCAAGATCTTGATTCTTTAAATTCTTTAATTAACCCAAACACTTCATTGAAGAACTGTCTCAATTGCTTCCTGTCTTCATGAATAGAGCCTATGCTTAACTTGTTATTATGGACATGTTATTTTGCTACTCCATTGTATAAAACCAGGTATGTTGGATTGGATCCAGATCCTTTAACTAGCCTATTTGTTACTACTATTTTTTTTTTAAATATATCCGCAGCATGTTTTATATCCACACACACAAAAAAGCCTAGAATCAAAGCAGTTTAGGTTGGGTGGCACCTCCAAAAGCAGAATTGAACTAGATCATCTCTGAGGAGGGTCACTAAAGCAGGTTGCTCAGGACTAAGTCAAGTTTTGAACATCTCTAAGGATGGAGTCTCTACAACCTCCCCAAGGAACCTATTTTAGTGTTTGGCCACTTGTACAATTTTAAGATACATAAACACAATTTCTTGAATTTCACTTTTTGCCTCTGTGTCACTGGATACCACCAAAAACAATGTTTCCCATCTTCTCTGCACCTTCCCATCAAATATTTATAAATATAGACAAAGTCCTAACCCTAAGCCTGTTCTTCTCCACTTCTCAGCCTCACCTCATGAGATGTTCTAGACCCTTAACCATCTCACTTCACTGGATTTGCTCCAGTACATCCACATCTTTCTTCCACTGGGGAGGCCAGAATTGGACACAGCAATCCAGATGTTGTCTTCCAAGTGATGAATAGAGAGGAATGATTGCCTCTCCTGACCTGCTGGCAACACTCACCCCAGTGCAGCCTAGGAGTCTGATGGCCTTTACCAGCTTGTGATCAACTTGATTTCCACCAAGACGCCCAGGTCTTTTTCAGGCAAGCTACTTTCCAGCTGGTCAACCTCCAGTGTTTACTGGGGCAAGAGGTCATTCCTTCCCAGATGCGGGACTTGGCATTTCCTTTTACTGAACTTCATGAAATTGCTCTCTGCACAGTTTTCTAGCCTGTCATGGTTTCCCGAGTAGCAGTATAACTAGCTGGTGTATCAACCACTCCTCTCAGTTTTGTATCATTTGGGAAACTGCTGAGGGTGCAACACTGTCCCATCATCCAGGGCATTAAGGAAGTTGAACAATACTGGCCCCTAGCATCGGCTCTTGGGGGCATCACTAGTGACTGGCCTCCAGCAAGACTTTGTGCTGCTGACCATGACCCTTTCAGCCCAGAAGTTCTGCCAGTTTGCAAACCATCTCATCAGTCATTCATCTAGCCCAGATTTTATCAGTTTGCTCATAAAGATGTTTTGGGAATCAAAAGACTGAAGACAAAATAAACAACATGTACTGTTCTCCCCTCACCACTAAACTGTTCTATTTCGTATAAAAGGCTGTTAAGGTTGGTCAAGGATGATTTCCCCTTCCTAAATCCATGCTGACTACTCCAAATCACCTTTTTATCTTTCAGACGTGGAAATGGCTTCCAGAAAGATTTGCCCCATAATCTTTTCAGGGATCAAGGCAAGGCTGTCAAGCCTTGTACTCTCCCAGATCCTGCTTTTGTATAATCTTTTCAAGGCTGTCAAACCTTGTACTCTCCCAGATCCTGCTTTTGGCTCCTCTTGAAAATTGATGCAACAGTAGTGTTTTTCAGCCCTCAGGAACATCTTTTGATGGGACTTTCAAAGGTAGAGAGTGGTCTGACAATGACAGCCTCATGGGTGCGCTCCATCAGGGTCCATAGACTGGTGTACATCCAGCTGGGTTAAAGATTCCCTGGCCTAATCTTCCTTCACCAAGGCTAAGTTCTTCCATCTCCAGAATTCCCCTCTGGCCTGGGATTCCTGAAGGCTGGTCCTTCCAGTAAAGACTGTGGTGAAAGAATTGAATTCTTCAGCCTTTCTGTATCTTTCAGGATCTTTTCACCATTCAGCATCAGACCCACATTTTCCCTAGTATTCCTCTTGGTGGTATCATTAGTGCTCATGTGGAAGAGCAGCAGGGTTAAGAGCCTGAGAGCTGGGCGATCTCAGCAGATTTTCAACAACCCCCTGAACCTGAGCGTCCAGCAAGCCACCCTAGGGGACAGACTTTGTTCTGAACAGCTGCTAGCCACTTTTGTGCCGTGCTGCATGAACCACTGGGAAGAATGCTGCATCTGTTAACTAGCTTTTCCAGCTGTGTTCTGGGAACCATGCACGTATACAGGGCTCTCCCAGTTCCTGCTGCAAGGGTGCTTGACCTTCCCTGATCAGGAATGGGCTAGAACAAAAGCTCCAAGCACTTGCTGATCTCTTAAAAGCTGACAGAGCTTGTAAAAGCAACTGGGACTTGCTAGAACCAGAGCCTCTGGTAGCTATCCTCATTCAGCAGAAGACACATTGAATTTCCCTAGAAGGCTCCTAGAAATGGAGCTACTTGCCCCACATCTGATGATCTCAAAGTCCCTAGAAGATTAAGACGACCTCGAAGCAAAGCCATCTGTCCATGAACTGACTCTCAATATCACAAACAGAGTTCATTTGCTGATACCCTAGAAGGGCATGTAACACTGGCAAGGTAGTCTATTAAGTGTTGCTTCTAGTACCAATTGTTGACGAAAAAGCAGCTTTTTCTCATCTTCTCCCAGCGTTGATGAAAGCAGCTTTTTCTCATCTTCTCCCAGGCTCGTCATCATGTAAATTCCCAGCTATTCTGAATTAAGGTAATGATTTTTCCCAGAGAACTACTGCATGGTTTCACACTTAACTGCAATTGATGATGTCTTAACAGTTTACTTGCTAGAAGTTTTTGAATAGTCCTTTTTAACCCTATTTAGGATAGCTTTCATAAATTGTGCACATTTTATCATGTTACATTTGTTTACTTGAAAAAAAAAATCAAGGATTTAACTCTTGACATCTATAGCTAACTAGATACAAGTGCTTTTTAAATATACTACTACTTCATAATCATAAAAGCATCAGAGTTTTAAGGATGAAAATCTTCACAGCCACCATTCTAGGCTCTTATAGGTGTTCTCAACACTGCCTTTTTTCAGATTATGACAAAAAGGAGTATGATTCTCTTTTTTTGGTAGTTTCTGCATATACCATCTTTGAGCTTTCTCAAGAACAGGAAAATCACAAACAACAAAATGACAAGAAAACACACAAGAAAAACAAATTATTATGATAAGTCTTCCCCATGAAGCATCCCTACAGCCATAAAAGTGTCAAATTTTACCACATTATCCCAAAAAGGAACTTACACTATGGCAGGAAAATCCGGTAAAGGTGCTGCCTCAAACAATATTCGAAGCCCAGCTTGCACTTGGTCTCTGTGATCTGACGTTAAAGCAAATGTCAAAGGTGTAATCAAGCGCTGATCCTGAAAAGAAACTACTTTGATCAAATACAATATAAGTCAACAAAAAGAAAAAGACATTACAATACACCCAAGCTTATTGGCACAGAAATGCTTTATTCAAAACTGAAGCTACCTTGCTGAAGTTTACCTTTCTAAGTTTCTGAAGCATGAATGCAATAGAACAGAAACCATTTTAAAAATAACTTCTTTTTTGTAGGTATTATAAACTTGCTTTCCTATTTAAGTCAAGGCAACAGAAAAAAAGTCTACTTAAGTCCTTAAGTTTTGAACTACTTGATTTTAAAGATATAAAAACTCATAAGCTTAAGATATAATTAGAATTTACATAGAAACTTGGAATTATAGATATGCACACAAAACATTCAGAATTAAAACTATTGCAGTGCTATGACCCTCTCTTTCACAGATATGCTTTAGAAGAGATTTCACATCATACCTGTAAAACTTTGTAGAAGCTGACTTCCATACTAGGTACCTCCTGCTTAAGTCTGCTCATAAGATCAAGTGTTTTCAAAATAACATCAGCAGCAAGTTTGCTTTTAACACAAATGGAAAAGTGAAAAAAGAGGTAGAATGAGATTTGTCAAAGCAACTCTGAAAAATTCAGTCTCTCTACAGAACACATGCTTCTACCCCCAAAATTAAATGTCTAGCAAGGCACCAATGCCAGCACCAGGAGAGATTACTCAATTACTTGGACGTGCTACTGAGCTTCTCCAACACATTAAGGACTGCAATAATGAACTCCAATTCAGCTTGGAAGTGAAGAGCATTTAATTCCAGGCCAATTACGTCTCATTATTGGTTGGCAATGGAAGGGCAGCAACTAGTCAATGTTCTAGCCAATTACACTGAGCTCACGTGCTTTATATGCCTTTAGCATGCATTTTTTTTCACCTTCTCTTGTATAATATTTCTGAACTCTAGTTACATAAAATCTCAGTGGAAAATTAGATGTCATGAGCATTTCAGGTATGCTTTTATTTGGATTTAACTACAGCATATGAGGTTTAGTATCACTCTTCCATGTAAGTGGAGCTTCATGTAACCCCAGAACAATACCAGAACGTTTAAGCTAGGTTTTCTTACTGAACTGACCAGAAAGCCTTTTGCCACTTTTGACCATCTTTTTTTTTGATGTAGTTCCAAAGAAAATCATCCACCACTCTCATGCAAGTGTTGCTAAATTAGAGTTTAGATAAACATGATTTTAGTGTGCTCACCACAGCTCAGAGTTCACTACCTTTGTCCCAAAACCAGTATCAACCCCAATATAGATGAACTGGTGTTCTATTAGCGACGTGCACCGGCTGGCACTCAGTTCCTTTGAGGCGTGTGTTTTCAGTATGTCATCTCCACACAGCAGTAAACTTAAGTTAAGAAAAAAATAGCTTAATATATGCATCTTTAAAGTCACAAGCTAAGTAAGCTTCACTTTTCAATTAAGTGTACTAATTCGGAAACAGACAACTGGAGAACTAGAGAAATGCCACTGTCTACAAAATCACTAGGAATACAGAAGATGATCAAAAGGAAACAAACATCAACCTCCAACACAAGAGTTAGTTCTCTAGGTGAGATTGTGGGCGTAAAGTTGAAAAAGGCAACTGGACAAAAATCATAGAAGCAGAAAAATAGGAAGAAATGCAGTTTTCCAAATAACTCCAGGCTTGAAGCCTGAAAAAATGAGTAATAGCACCACACTGGTCTTCTCCCCATGCTCCCTATCTTGGCCACTGTCAGAGATTGTATGCTAGTCCAGACAGACCAAATAAGCCACTCATATTCTAATGAAGGAACCCTTTTGCAAATAGAAGAATGCAAAATGGCATCACTTCACATCTATTTTTACTTGCATTTCATTGATCTGAACTTGCACCATATTTAGCTGGATGCTTTACACTTTCGAACAGCCACCACATTTTATCCTGCATCACTGTATTATTCAATTATTCCCAAGCAATTAGAAAGCAATTTAAGGTCTTTCAGGATGACAGCCCTAAGCCAAATTATGATGTTGACTGTCATGAAAAGCTATTAAGTGACTCAAGATGAGCATTTTCTCTAACATCTTAGAGCAGCAGATCATTGTAGAAGAAGATTAAATTAACTGCAATAGGCACATAAAAAGGATATTTGTCAGAACACTTATAGCCTTAACCATTCGTTCACACTTTTTCTTCACTAGTAACTCATCCACAATCTGTTCTGGCATCTGAAGATGATCAAGCAGAACAGGCAACAAAAGATCCACAAAGTGTTCAGCCGAGCCACTGTTGCCACTATTAATAACGTCCTGCAACAGACAAATTTTACATCAATATTTAAAACAACACAACCAGAAAACAAAAACCATTCTACCCTTCTTACACCAACCTGTTTTCTAGCTTCCCCAAAGCCTTACTGTTTTGGGTTTGTTTCAAGACTACTGATCAGTATCACACTGGTGGAAGTTTAACAAAGAGCACAGAATCAGCAGACTTCTCCACTTTTACTAGTCCTAACAAAGAACTGTTTGCATCTACCCAGTTACTTCATGAACGGCCATATCTTCCAACTACATTTCTGCAAAAGGCTATTTTTTAAAAACACAGCTTGTCTTTAAAAGAAAGCTGATTTACAGTGTGTGGAATTCTAAAACCCAAAGCATTCTATTTCAGATTTTTTTATATACTGTTTTTCCAAGTAAGAATACAAAGATGGATTGACATTCTAACTGTAACAGCAGTTGTTCACAAATCAATTCAGAGAAATAAAATACAGCTACAAAGAGGCTATTTATACTCCATTAATAGTTTTTATACCTCAAAAATCTCCTTGAACAGCTGCAAGGCTAGAACTGAACAGTCTTCAGAACCTTCCAGTGGTTGGTTTGACAAGTGCACCAGTGCAACAGACGGTTCAAAAGTCTTTGAGCGAGCTACAAATCTGGCATTTCCAGCGACTGGCAAACCAGAGGGTTCCAGTATTGCCTGCCGCAGAATATGACGCAGCTCTGTTACAGAACAGAAGGCAAGTAGCAGTTCTAAGACCTGCATAAAGTGAATGAAAGAGTTTTATTTTTTTTTTTAACATCGATTACTTCTACAGAAACTGTAATTCCTATAACAAGGAGCAAAAATTAAGAGAGATGTAAGTTCCAAGCAGCTCCCCTTGGCATGCTGAAGGTGGTTAGCTAACAGTACTTCAAAGGATGACTTCCAGGAAAGGAAACTAAGTCAGCTGCAGAAACACAGTTCATAGGAAAATCAGGCTTGTAACAGTTTTCAGTGTACCACTTCCTCCTATATCTAAAAAGTTGCTGCCTAGAAATCCTTCAGCAATAGAAATGCCTCTGCATGCAACCCAAATGAAGAAAGTCACAAAAGGAAAACATTCCAAGATCTTTACTGCTGCGTATGTGCGTAGAGAGATAAAAAAGGAGGAGAGATGCATTTCACAGATATATTCAGCCCAAATATTTTCAGGACATTTCATATTTCTGTCTTCAGCAACAAATAACAAGAGTGTTTCATTTACACAAGGAGGTAACTAAGGTAATGTAAATGCAAAGGTAAATTGCTTAATTCAAAGAAGCACCAATTTTATTCAATTATGAGTGAAATAGCTTATGATCTCTAAAACAAACAGAATGGTTTTACAATCATCAGTTCAAAATGTGAATATTAATTTAAGTTTTGGCCAGCCTAGTGAGGTGCACACTGCATTCCTGGTCCAGCTCTGTGCATTTGTTGTTAGCCAAACAGAAAAAGGTTGGGGCCTTTTGTTTTTATGGCAGTTGTCTGAAAGCAGACATACAACCAATCTCTGAAAAGTCAGCCTGATGGTGTTTTGAACAACCAAAAGATTTACAGTGGATTAATGCTGACTAGAAGATTAAGTGACCTACAATTTATTTCAGCATCAATAAGTACATAAGAAACATGCTTTTGACTTCAAAAGTGAAAAAAAACAGATTAGTAAAGATAAGCAATTAGCTTTATGCTGAAAAAGCATGAATACCTTACATGATGAATCAGAATCCCTTCCATGAAGGAGATCTAATACTTGCCCAAGGCATGAGGTGAAGTGCTCATATCTACAACATACATAGGATTTATCACTTGATATAAGTCTTAAGTGCCACGTTCCCCTTTTGCCCTCCAAACACTTCAAGCATAGATTTGACAGTCTTCATAGTTTACAGATACAATAATGTAATTTCTATTCAAGGCTTTACTTAAAACATACTCTAAAAGTGAATGGAAATTCCTTAAAATAAACCAAGACTTTGCCAGCTGTTTTCACTATTAGAGATTCAGATCTAGATTGAGCAACTAAATTCTATTGGTTGGATTTGTAAAACTGCTAGTCGAGGATTTCAAACGACTATTCTGTAATGTCCTCCACTTAAATTATTACAACTTGGACAATATTACTCTGTGAAATGGCAACAAAGCCATTCATTAAGTTGCCTTACCACCAATACCTCCCAGTTCACATTACTTCAGTATGAGATTGGTAATGCAAGAATTCCTTTGGTTTCCAGTATAAGATGCTATAAGCAACTAGTAGCATTCAAGAAGCACCTAGATTTTTTTTCCATGCTTCAGTTCAGAATAAAAATAAAACATAACACAGCAAAAGCTTAGGAAGAATATCCTACATTTTCATAAAGCAAAGTTATACCTGGTAAGATAATCTGCAATTTTGGGGTTCTTCAGAAGATCCACAAGGAGATCAACAGAGTATTTTCTTGTTAGAGTACCATCTCCATTTACAACAATATTGAATATTAGCTGAAAAGTCTGATGGATATTTCGGGCATGAAAAAGCTGAAATAAAGAAGAGTTATATAAAATACACATACATACTATGTGCAGGTCTCTTATTAAAATTTGCTGGCATCACAATTTGCTTTGGCCACAGTGGCTGTTAATTTTAGATAAATTAACATTAGAATAGACTTCAAAGAATTACTTACTTTTTCTCCTACTTCTTCATTTAAAGTAAGGCTTGATAACACTGAAAGTGCAAACACGACCATAGTCAAACTACTATGGGCCAGGAAACTTATCAAGGTACGATAGAAACTCTTCACATTATTCTAAAGCAGAAAAGAGAAATGCAGGCATTACCAATTGTATTCCACTCACACACCAAACTTACACCTAGTACATACTTACAAATGATACAAATCATGAATAATGATACAAGAATCTTAGAATAAGTTCTCTGGAAAATCTATTTGAGTGTTCTGCCAATGAACAGTTACTTGGGTGCTGATGTCAATGACTATATTCGCTGTTGAATTCTATCAGTAGAAAATTAAAAAGAATTCCATTATATTTGCTAAAACATCTCTACAGAGAGAAAGCTATCCCTGAAAAATTGATCTCCTCCCCATCTCTCTTTGCCCTGTGATCAGATTTGAAAACACTTTCTCCCTTTTTGCCCTTCTTCCAAGAAGGCACATTACAACATTCCCTGCCACGTATATGAATTTGTATTCCTCAGTTATGAGTTGTTTGCACTAATTAATGAAGACACAGGGAAAAAAGCAGTAGATATATGGATGTGTATTTGAAAATGCTGGAGCCTTGACATCAAGATCAGTAACAGTTACTCATTTATCTTCAGAAAGGTAGATCTTTATTTCTCAATCCAAGTTACTGCTGACTTACCAAAGACTTAATCTGAGTTTGGATAGATATGTTGTGACGACAGAGGTTTGCTAGGAGTCCTAAACATGGTATTGTTAACTCATCTTCAGTGGACTGACTTCCAAAAAAAAAAGAAAAGGCACAAAAATTTAAACAAGCTTCTTTATACTAAAGCATCCAGAATTTAATGAAAACAAATACACGATTTTACACAGGACGCTATTTCTCCAAGCAAAGCAAAATTGAGATTTGCAGACTCCACAGTGTTAGCAGATTTTAATTGAGCATAACAGTAAAAATATGGTCCCAATTTTACTGCAAGCTCTTTTCAGAGTCATCAGGCCTCTCAGGACATTTGCACAAAATTTGTGTTATCATAATTTCAATATGATCTAATGGCAAGCATGAATTTACTATTGACCCCATTTTTGGATTGGACAGCTGAGACTGTGATAGCAATTCAAGCGCAACCTCTGCAAGTTCCATAATTACTCCATTTGAAAGTCTTTAACAACATCTTTAAAGAAAAACCTCTAGTAACTTCAGAGAAAATGTCACAATTGATTCTAGAGACTGGATTAGTACAATGAGCTAGTGATCTTGGGGGAAAAAAAAACAGAAACTTAGCTAGATACTTCCCATAAGCAAAGACAACTGAGTATACACTTACATGTGATGCATTAGAAATGAAATTAATTCATCGATGTTGGCACCAGCATGAAAAACTCGAACATTGTAGGTCAGCCTCTGCAGCAGCTGAATACTCTGAGGAAATAAAAGTTATTCAGATATATATTTCCTGTAGCATCTCATTATGTTTCAGGTACAAAAGGTATTTTTCTACAGTTAGAACCAACAAACAAGATGTAGCAAGACACTGCAGCTAAACTTATTTTCACATTCTGGAGTATTAGCAATATAATTCCACAAGCTGCTGCAAGCACTCCGAGTTCTCTTCTACTATATTTATCTGCATGTACTTATTAAAAGCACACATAGATTAATATGGTTTTATTTTTACAGAGAAATTACTTTTTTGTGCTCATCCAATTCTTGCCATTCCTCTGTCAGCAACGTCTCCATTCAATCAGTGAGAAAAAGGCTTTGTCATATTGAAATACCTAGAAACTTCACCCCCAAAAAACGAAAACAAAACGAAACAAAAAAACAGGAAGTATTTTCAATCTCTTTCAGGAAGTTTGTCTAGAAAACCTCTCCCAATGATAAGGATTAATGTGACTTGCCCTAAGTTCCCTGGTATTTCTAGTGCTTTGGTAGATATCCAGAGCATGTCAAATGCATTATTTACTGGATGCCTAATTAATTTTCCACAGATAAAGGGTAAGAGAACTGCTGGCAAATTCACTTGCTGCTTTCCTCCCCAGAGGAAAGATGTGATCAGAGGTTATTAACAAAGTAGTCAACAAGGAACTGCTGAAAGCTTAGAGACAGGTAATAAGAAAGCCTGTACATACTTAAAAACACAGGAATTACTGACAAAACTTTACTGATCAATAGACAGAAGAGTATAATGAAAGTCGGTGAAGACTTATTTAAGTCATAGTACTTTGACTGAAGAACCAATAAATGTCTGCACCTGACTCCAAAGACAGGGCTTCCAGAAGTAGAGCCTTTTCCTTGCACTGCCAGATATCCCTGACCAGAGGGAGAGAGGCATACAGCCCCAGGAAAACTTCAGTAAGAACCAGCAGCCACAGCTTCCCCTTCACTCTAATTTCAGCAACCACCTGTCAACGCACTGACTAGGGAAATAGTCTCCAGACCTTTAAGGACAACATTAGGAAAAATAACTAAATTTACATTCGATCAATTGGAAAATAAGCTTCCAGGCTCTCATGAAGCTATTTCTTGAAGTAAACACTTCTAGTTTCAAAAAGCACTTGTTTTTGTGAATTACAGTTCTTGAGAAGTATATGCATGATTAAATAAAGAACACTGAACTCCAATAGCCCCAGATAGGGTATAAAATACATAGCTTTGTAGCACCTTTATAAGGTATAGTATAATATTTACTGTACAACTATAATAAAGTATTATTAAGCATGAGTTCCAATTACCTGTAATAAAACTGGATCACTAAAATTAGTAGAACTTCGATGAACCAGCCCTGCCAGCACACTGGTCAAGTTGCAGGTATCCTGAAGAGCTTCTCTAGCCTCATTGTCTAAAGCTAGAATTTAAAAGTATTATTAATAATAATAAAAAACCCCTATACAGTAGCAAAGGTAACAGTTACATTAGCAATGGAAGCAGAAGCCAGGAGGGTCAAGCCTGGGACAAGTTTCTTCAAATATATTTCACGAGTAACTACAAATAAAACAGAGTTCCTGTACCTTTGCGTCTCTATCTCACTAAATAATATAAATGAAACACCATCTTTCCCTTAAGATGCATGGACACTGAGGGAACTGTCCCTCCCACCCCGCTCCCACATTTACTTACTAAGTCTATTTGAGAGCTCAAGTCCTGCACACTTAAAGCTTAACATCAATGATTTTCGTTTCTTTGCTTTGTACTCAGGTGGGAAAGTAGACTAGGCAGTCCAGGGAAAGGAGGAGCAAATAAGAATGACAAAAAGTAAGCAAGGGACCAGTGGAAGGAAGACTGAATCTGAAAAACTCCCCACTCTAACAGATGGGGGCAAGGGTGAAACAGCAACAAGTATCTTTTCACACTAAATATTTGCAGAAACTCAAAGGCAGCTCAAAAGAGACTGAGAATCAAGAATCATTAGGCCATCCTAAAAGACTCCATTCCACCAACCACTGGCACATGATGGGAGACACTGGACAGCATGAAACAAATAGTTGTGAATATATAGTGAATTTTTCACTACATATGTAGCCTGTATGTGTGTTATGGTGGGCACAGAGTTCCCTAGACAATAAAGTCACACTTCTGTGAAATGGAAGAAAAAAAAAATCCCAAGAAACAACTGATGGGCATCAGAGCCAACTCCTTAATCCTGAAACCCAAGCAGACGAACCAAGGGCACTGGGCTCTGAACCCAACTGAGATGCTAAGAAGCATCTCAAATGGAGGCCTGAACTGAATCTGTGACTACTGGTGCATCATGGTTTCTCTCTTCCTTCGCAATGCCTGCGCAGATTTCTTCACTTCATAAAAATGTTATTTTCAAGCTTGAAAAAGACATCAAGGAACCTCCAAGAAAATGATTTCTCAGGCTCTCAGCAAGGAAGCAAATTCTGGCAAACGCAATCACTGTTTTTTTCCTAGGAAAATCGCCCAATCTATTTCTAATGGTGATTTAACATCCCATCTAGCCTTGTATGTACAGTATGGCATCAGTCACTTGAACATCATTATAATGAAAAATATTTAATCTTTCTCTGCTTATGCTTTTTATAGGAAGTTGCTCACACATCACAGACCCAACACCTGCCTTACCCTTCCTATCTCAGATCTAAACTAAATATTTAACAAACACGACTTACCCAGCTGTGACAGCAAAGTAACCACAGACAAGGTTAGAGAAGGGTTTGTATTAGCATCCTCAAGGAGTTCTACCAGGCAAATAAGACATTCACTTGGTAGAATCTGTTTTGAAGCAAATAATCTAGTAAGTTTCAGTTCAGAAATAACCTGGAAAGGAAGGGAAGAGGAAAAAAGAAAAGACCATTTTACATATATATAGATACACGTTTCCCTTCCCCCACCCCTTTTCAAAGTTACTTATCTGCAACAGGGTATTTAGTACAAAAGTCATTGCATAGGGTTGCATGAGAATTAAATATCTTTTGCCGTATTTGACAAATATAATGCAAGTGCCATTCTAGCAGGACACTCATGTTCACATTTGCTGCTTTCTGTATCTCAGACAGGTTTCAAAAACGAAACAAACAAAAAAACCCACACAGTTTTCAATGTGTAAAACAGAGGACAGCTTCTTTCAAACTAATAGCTGCAGCAGAACAATACTTCGCATTTCTTCACACATTACAGTGACTTAATACTAGCTGCTTACTCTTTATTTATATATATATTTACTTACATATACACACACACATTCAGATAAAAGATGGGCCTTATCTATTCTGAAGGAATAATCAAACATATTGCTCAACACGGACACTTAATAATCGGCTTCAGTCAACTTCACAGGCGGTACTACAGAATAAGAGGACTGGAATACAAGAGCATTTCTCTGTATGAAGATAAGCAGTAACATGTAATGCTGCTTTGTGAATACTCTATGCTGTAAGACAAAAGCATTTTGAATTCATGGAAGGCATGTAAAAAGATGCAAGGAATGACACAGCCACATATCATTTCAGGTAGACCTAAGTTGCATGATCATAATATAGCAGTGTAATGTTATTCATGTATAGCTCATGTATATCTTCACAGTAATTACCCCAAA